GTGAATGGAGGTAATTGCAAAGGCCCATGGCTTCACAAGATACTAAACACAAAGGACAGTTGTAGGTTCAGGCCTAGACAACATTCATACACCCCCTTAAGGCTCAGGGAACATTATGGAAGAGGGGAGAAGACTGTAAAGTCTGGAGGATGGAGAGGAGGCTGAAATACCATCTGTTAAGCATGACACAGTCATGGGACATACAAACTCACAGCAGCTATGCTGGCTATAGGCCCACAGAAATTAGGCCCTCCTAACAGTTAGCTATGAACGGAGGAAGGGACTCATGAGCCCTACCACACACTGCTGATCCGTTGGTAGCCAACACATTCTGGGAGAGGGAAAGGCATAGTATCCAGTTGTGTACCCACTGGTGAGCACACCAGGATCACACAGATGGTCCTGGGTGGAACACTAAACAAAACCCAAACTAGTAAACAGGGGAAAGATATATGCAGGGAGAAGGGAGGCCAATGGGAATATAAGGGAAATGAGAAGGTGGGGGGGTGACCAGAACACACAGTGTGCATGTACGTAATTGTGAAAGAAGGAAATTTACTATTAGAAAAAAGTAATTCAGAGGTAATAGTTCTTGAGTAGCAGGTATTTTGCAACAATGTTTTTTTAGTAAAAATTAAAGTTTCATTTGAAATTAATTGATGAGGACTTTAAATTTGTTGAAATTTCTCAAGATTAAAAATAAAAGCACAAGACAGAATGGTGGTGCAAACCTGTAACTGCAGGACTTGGGAGGCAGATGCAAAAAAAACAAAAACAAAACCCCAAGTTTGAGGTCAGTCTGACCTACATAGGAAGTTTCTGGACAGCCAGGGCTATGTAATAAGAGCCTGTCTCAAATAAACAAAATAAACAAACAAAAAACCCTAATTAATTAATTTTTTTAAAAATTTAAAAAACAACCGAAACCAGAAAATTAGTAGTCCCTACAGTAACCATTGACCACTGCATTTCAGTGAGGCCATCCCTCTTTCCACACATGGCCAGAGATGTGTAAGCATCAGTAGTGAAAAGAGCTTTTTGCTCCTTCATACACTCAAAAATCCAGGAAGTTACTGAACTGGTGATCCCACTAGAATAATTATAACCACAGGACCTGCATGAAGTGGAGACACTTTGTTTAGCATTTAGAAATCATTTACCTTTTTTATATCTTGGTAAGCATAGGGCACCATTTTTTTATTTCTCTGGAATCTTGTGGATTTATTTTTCAAATGCAGGCACAATCAGCCTGGATTCTGCATCTGCAGATTCAATAAACCTTGGGTCAAAAGTATTTTTAATTACATCATCCTAAATTTGTATGGACTTTTATTGTGATTCTGTAAGCAGTACAGCGTAACAACTAGCAACAGGTTGCATAGCATACTGCTGTAAGTAATATAAATAATCATTTAAAGTACATGGGGGGATTTACACAGATTATATACTGTCATTTTAAATAGAAGATGTGAACACTTGAGGGTTTGGGAAGCCACAAAAGTCCTGGAGCTAAAGCTAATCTCCAAGGAAAAGAGAGACAGCTGTCTATATGATGTTTTTCACTCCCCTGCCCAGGCCTTGGAGGTAATCTTCTGTACATTTTATTCAATGTAATGGTGATCACTCTGGTGGTATGGTCCTATTTAAGTGTGGGGTTTACTAAGGAAACTTTAAACAAACATTCAGATTGAGAAACTTGTTTATAGTTGAAATATAGAAACTGAATAAATAGATAAATGCACGATTCTTGGCGTACTTGATGGTTTGGGGAGGAAGTTCCAAGCCACTGGGTTCAACATCACTCAATTCTCCCTAGGAAACTGAAAGTCTGATGGAATTTTGTTTTCTGTTAGCTTTTCAAAACATGTTTTTAAATTTTCACACTATATTTTGGACCTCTCTTTATCTTTCACAGCCACAGTTAATATGGTTAAATTTCATGTTTAATATTGGCCTATCCAGTGCATATATAGAGAAAACAACCATAAAAGGACATAAAAACTACAGAAGAGAGTAAAATCTTTAATCTCCCATGTTTAGGGTCAGAGTTTTATCTCCAAAAGCATCATTTATCTACAAACCCATTTTGTAGATTAGCTATGTCCTTGAACCTTCTTAAGCTCCCTTATTGTTTATTCTTCCATGTTCTTATTTTATCTTGCTTTATAAGATGAGCTGTTTAGGGATACTTCATCTTTGCATTTTCCAATCACTGGATTGATATCTTCACACACTTTAGACCAGAGCTACATCCTTACACATGCCCTCCTGTTTTCTTTGCATTCACCACATACCTGAACACATCTGATTTTACATACTTTTTGCTTACAGATGCCAAATCAGTTTACATAATGCAATGGGGTTTTGCTTGTGTTTATGTCTTTCTAGTCAAGCTGTCAGTTATAGGAAAGAAATATCTGAGTCACCTGAACGCACTGACATAAAGCATTGAAGACATATCCAGGACCCATCTCACTAGTAGGTTAGGGTCTGCTGTACCTACTTGTCTATCTGCCGATATTCCCCAGTCTTTCCTGTTTCTAAATGCTGATTTAGATAAATGCTTTTCTAATCCAAATGAAACCCTATGGTATGGATGTCAGCCATGAAAATAAGCACTAGCGCATGTGCCACACTTGAAAGATAGGCTTGGTTTGAATCAGACAGGAGGTGAGCTGCAATTAGGTTCCAATATCTGTAACTCCACCACATGGGGAGGTGAGACCTCACTCCTCCAGGAACCCCAGAATGTAAGAGACATCAGGGGTCAGAATTGAGATCCTTGGTCTTCAATAAATATGATTTTGTGTGATAAAAGGAGTGAGGAAAAAAATAGCAAAGTAGGTCTTCATTCAAAGTTCCAATAATGAAGGAAGTGACTGGGAAATTTATAGCCCATCTCTACCTCAAGCATCACATTACAAGTCCCAGAGCACTCTGGGTATACTTGCAAGGCAGGACATACCTTGAACTGTTTAAACAGATCTATGATCAGGACTTTTATCAAACTGGCCAGTATGACCACCCTACTTGGTACCTGAGATCACAGAACTGGTATTTGGTGACCCTGGGAATAGTCAAGCTATTATTTAACGAGTACAACTATACCCTCCTTGAACAAGCCTGAATCATATCTTACACCCAGGTTAATTGGGAGGATTCAGCTCACCTCCATTTCTCTACAGTTCAAAACTCCCTTGACTCTCAGTTTCAGGCAGTCATTTCAACACTGTCCTCAGAAATGTCACTCAAGCCATGTTAATTCTGGGTTTTTCCCCAGTCATGGATACCTTCTTTTTCTGCACCTCATTCTGCTGAGGCTTCTCTGACTAGGTCCATACCCACCATGATGCTGTCTTCACCTTTCAGACCACAGAGGACCACTTCTCCTGATCTCTTGACTCTTTTTGTCAGGTTTACACTATCATTTAGTCAATTAACAGTTATGAATCTCGCATATAATTCTAGCGAATTCTATAATAGGTACCTCCAAACTGTATTTCAGCTAAAAATTAATATGAACTAATATTATTTCCCAAAATACACTATAAGCTTCTTGAAGATAGGACTATGTCACCTTCTTAAATCCTATATACTACCTGGTAGCTTACTAGTACCTAGCTGGCATTCAACATATCTTACAAAGTGATTCTTTACAAAAGTAGTCACTAGTTAACATCCTTCTTGGGAGGATTCTTTGGGTGCCCAACAAAGTTCAATGTACACAAATATTCTTCAACTTCACCTGTTGTGTGAAGGCAAATATATCCTATTTCATATCATATATTTTAATAGCTTTTTAAAAACAAGTTTTTCAAATAAGGATTACTTTGATGTTGTGAATATGGATCATGTCTTTGGAAATGTCAACTAATTCAAGGTAGGAGAGAAGCAAGAAAATTTTTTTCACCTAAGCCTATAGGTTCTGTATTGATCCTTATATTTGTCAATGGATTTGTTTTAAGTGAGCTTTTAGACTGAGGCTTATACAAAGATGGAAGAGAACACGGCTTCCAGCAGCAATTTTCTAGGACTGCTTTGGTTTCCCACTGCAGGCCTTGTTTTGTGCCTGATGAGATCTGAGAGCCAATGTTGCCTGTATGACACTGAGACTCTTCACCCACATACATCTCCAAGCAATGTTGTCTGTATGACACAGAATGCTTCACCCACACACATCTATCAATGTTGCCTGTATGACATAGACTGCTTCCCCACACACATCTCCTATCTTTCACATAACAGGAAAACCTTAAAGATTTTATTATCTTACCTCCTTGCAATATCACTATGTCTAACGATTACCCTACATAATTCCCAGTTGCTGACTTTAATCTCTTCAGTTTAAAGCTGTCTCTCTGATCACTAGAGAAAAAAAATTAATCTTCAGATACAAGTTTTTGAATCTGAAAATTTAAGAGGCCTGAGCTATTTTTAAATTTTAAAAAAGCAAAACACATTGTAGAAACTAAGATATCTGAGCAAATTGGTGGTGGTCTGAAGTAGCAAGGGAAAATGATACCCATAATGGCATTGATGATGGATGGAGAGGAGATTACCAACAATTTAGTGTTCTGTTCTTAACTCCAGTCAAGCATTTACCAAAAGAATTAAACTTGTTGAACTTTGGCAATCTAAATCAAATCTTGAAAGCATGAGTGTATTTTGCAGGTGGAAAGGAAGAGGGAGAGAGAGAAAGCACTTAAAAATAATCTCTATTTCTTGTATACCCTTTAAATGTGATGCTTTCAAGCAGTGCTCACTACCTGTAAGACACATAGGTTCTGCACTGCATTTTGGTCCTAAGTTATAAAGTTTTCCAAAAAAGTGCTTTTGTTTCTTCCAGAGTCTTACAACCCTCTACAGCACCAAGGAGCATCACCTGGGGGAGGGCAAAGCTTTGCAAAGGGGGACCCTTGTCAGTGCGCACAGGACAAGGCATCAAAACACACCGCGTTTGTTGTGTTTGTTTCACGCCACGATCCCTGTCTTTTCTACAGCTACCTCATCCCTGAACTCCCAACTGCAACAGCTCCAGCAACTCCAGCAACTCCAGCAGCAGCAGCAGCAACAGCAGCAACAGCAGCAGCAGCAGCAGCAACAGCAGCAGCAGCAGCAACAGCAGCAGCAGCCGCCTCCTCCACCAACCAGCCAGCACCCACCGCCAGCCCCACAAGCGCCCTCACAGTCTCAGCAGCCCCAAGCGCATCTCCAACTTACCCCACCCCACCAGCCACCACCCTCCCAGCAGTTGCCGGCTCCTCCAGCTCAGCTACAGCAGACTTCTCAGTCCCACTCCCACCCTCAGAACCAGAACCAGCCATCTCCAACCCAACAGAGCCCAAGCCCTCCTCAGAAACCCAGCCCCTCTCCAGGACACGGCCTTCCTTCACCGCTCACACCGCCCAACCCTCTACAGGTAAGCTCTATGCCCTCCCCAGTAGTACAAAGGACTTTTCCATGGTGTTGTGCAGTCCCCAAGACAGAGGGCCAGCAAAACTCAGCATCCAGCTCTGCAGCGTCTAATTCAAATTGATCTCTTAGACATAGGGAAGAGGAAGCAGATAGCAGGCAGCTGGGGATGCATGTAAACGAAACAAATAGAAGCCCATTGATGTTGCCCTCCAAAGGATAAATGTTATCTCTTTCCTTCTGTGAGAGGCCAGCACTGTAAGTGCACTTGTAGCCTGTAATAACTCCATTTTATGATACTTTTTGAAGGCAGCAAAGATAGCATCCAATTAAAATTATTACCAGCACAGTTTTGTAGCCCCATGGAGAACTGCATCTACTGTCCATGAGGCATGGTGGTTATTTCTCTATATTATGAATACAACAGAGTCTTGCCTTGAATACTTTCTGCTCTTTTGTTTTTATTTTTCTAAAGACTCTCTGGGGTTAGGAGGGCAAAGAAATTTAGCCCCCATCTTATGTCCCAGATTCCAACCATTGCTCCACAGACTTAACAAGTACTTCAAATTCATGCCCAGAGTCTCAACAAATATGCATCTTTATAAAAGATAAATCAGCTATATGTTTATTTATTACTGTTAGGCTGAAGAAATAAAAAATGGATAGTTCAGGTTAATCATGAAAACTCATCTTTAACCTACTACCACTGAGGAAGACTGGAGAATTCAGGAATATATAACTTCAAACTTTCAAATCATTCTTTCAAACAGGTTAGCTTCCAAACAGAATGACTGTGATGCCAGCACAGAGATGTAGAAATTAATGGCTCACCTGTTCTCTCACTTACATATGATGATTTCCCCAGAGAGATTCCAGAAGATTCCGTGTGCTCATAGACAGTGACAAAGTCCAACAGACTGAGAAATTTATGCATCCATTTCAAATGCCAGCCCACCCATCTTCCTTGGAGGTGGGAACTGTGCAGCCTCCCCAACCCAAGGTTGACACCACCGATGGCATTTGGGGCTGTTAAATGGTAAAATCAACAAGATCAAGACAGATCAGTACACAACAAAAGGCAGGTAGGAAGTTAGTATTGTAAACTGACTTTATTTTATATTCCATAGTTTTGTCTCTTTGAAATTGATTTCTCAGAGCGGCCCAAAGTCTACCAGGAAATGAAAATATGTAAGTGAGGATTAATGATTTCTGGACACTTGGGCCTGGGTAACAGTCACCTTGAACATCTTCCTGAGTCATAACTGAAAATGTGTTTTTTTATACTTTTTATAAGGACAAAGGAACCTAACACTTTTGACATGGTACTGAAATGAACACAAGCTAAAAATGTCACCCCTGGACATTTGACATCCAATGGGAGCACAGACATAATCAATACGTAAAATGTACAGTCCAAGCAGCATCTAAAATTCATCTCTATTGTTCCAAAGAGAGAATTAAATCCTTTTTAAGAACAATTAGACTAGATAGGTCTATATACCATGGCCATCAGTAGCTTTTATGTTGCTATAAGCAACAGAAACAACACTCACAGTTTTAAAGAGCTACAGTCCATCATAGTGGAGGGAGAATAGGGGAGCAGCTCAGTCTGTGGAGGCAGTGTGTGGCAGAGGCTGTTCACATGATGGTCAACAGGAAGGGGACACCAAAGCAGGACACAGGGGCTGACTTTCAAAGGTGAGCTACTTCTGCCAGCCAGGCCCAGCCTCAAAAGACTCCACAGCCTCTGAAAACAACTCCACCAACTGGACAACAAGTGTTGACTCATGAGCCTGTGGGAGAGAACTCAGATCCAAGCCAGGAAACATGTGATCGGACGTTTCTTTCTTTTTTTTTTTTTTTCCTCTCCCAGACACCATATTAGGTTAAATTACCAAACAAAAACTTGCCCTGCCTTGAGAGATGAAATTACTTACATCTGCCCCATTACCATGGAGCCCTGGAAACACTCATCTTCCTTGAACGCTGATGTAGCTCATCTCTGCAGGTTTTCTGAACAACCACTGTGGGAAATCCCAGGCTGTTTTGTTTTGTTGCATTTTGCAACAAAGGAAGGTTCAAAGACACACTTTCTTTTCTTTCCAACCCTAAGAAAATATTCTAATTTTTTGTTGTTGTATTTTAGCGTATAAACTTAATCGGTATGTTTATGGTATATTTAAGTATAGAGTAGATATTATACTAACTTCTGTGCCCCTGAATGGGCAACCACCAAAGGAATACCTTGTTCAATTTTTAAAACATTACTGAGTAGATAGAGCATTAAATTTGAATAAATCTGTGTTATTAAGAAAAACTGCAGACACATCTAAAAGAAAGGGAGAATTTCATGGTTTACATTTTTTCCAGCCCCTGGCTTTGGGGCTTTTGAGTTTGTGGACTGTGGAAGGTTTGAACTCTGTAAAAAGAAAACGATTTAAAAGGAACTGCATAGACATTTAATTCTCAAAGGTAATGATCTTTATGAGCTAGAATAAAGTGTTTTGTCTGAAAATTAAGAGAATTAAGAGAATAAAGATCAACTAAATTCATATATGACTAACTTAAATTTCACTTTTATACTTCTTTATTTTCGTGTGAGCTTTATTTTCTTACATTATTCAAAATCTATCAGAGAAGTAGTATTTTATAACCGTGCAACGTAGATTATTAGGGAAAACCAGTACATCAGAAGGGTTTTTTTTTATTTTGGGTTCAAAAGAAATTTTTGAAGGATAACAATTATTTCTAAAGCGGTATAGATACTGTGATGGCTTCAGAAAAAAAAAGTAATAAAACAGGTTATGAAGGTATATTTGGGTGAGGTCATTTCTCAAGAAAGAAAAAAATTAATAGTGCTGGCAGGCAGCAACACCTAGACAAAAATTCTCCAAATAGCTCTTGTCAGGTTTTTCTGTAAAATTGCAGTATAATTTTATTTTACTCTTTTACTCAATTCCATGAAATGGATTGCATTTACAAAACCAGGTTGTTGTTTCAAGACAGGTATGAGTCTAAAGTATTACCAATTCAGAAAAGCCCAGGTAGGAGAATAACTTTGTTCATTAATTTTGATCACTTGGGGCTATGGGAGGCAAGTCTAGAGTTGATTCCAGGAGCTGGTCCCTGAAGGTCTGTTTAGATTCTCCATTGAGACCCACAGCCTTCCAACTCACAGCTTCAGTCATTCCCAGAGGCACGAGGAAAGAAGTTCTAAATAGAAAATATAAGTGCACAGCTCTCTTCAAGAGCCAAGCAGTCAATACAAGTCACTGGTGTGGGTATAGTATACAAATCTAATTTACATAAGGAATGCACGGGATAGGAAAGTGCCCTGAAGTTAGGCCTCAGATCCACTCCTTGTGCCTTTATTTTGCTGTAACATATCTGCAATAGATCAAGCCAGGACCAAAATCTGGGTATCTAAAATGTACTGGAGAGAGATGATAAGTAGAAGCAAACCTTTCTTTTGGGGATAGGAGAGACTTTATGTAATTATTACTGGGTAGAAAAACAAATCCAAAGATTTTAATTTCAATATTACTCTAATTGAAAAAAGACCCCACAGGCAGAGAAGGGTGAATGAAGCATGTTTCCTTTCCATCACCATTAAGATTGCTTTTCCTTAGAATGTTCCTTAGGAGTTTTATATGCACTAGAGATGTCCCAAGCATTTCGCAAAATCCCTAATAAGCCCTTTCTAAGGGGTCTGGAGATGGACCAGGACTGACTGGAGCCTACAGTGGTATCCTAGAGGGCTGGTTGATGGTCTTGTTTTAGCTCCAACCTCTTCCATCCACCTCACTCAGGGCTCTTGACAAGTTCTCATAGTCTCTGGATATCCTTTTTCTGTCTGCCACTTCTAAGAACTTTTTTTTCAAGCCTATGGCTATGTGACCTAAATGTTGGTAGAAGTCTGGGACTTTCTTGGCTATTGAAAACCTGATTCTTAGATCCTCTGAGAATCTTCAAGGTCAGGTGAATCTCATCTCACTCAGCTGGGTGGCTGAGTGGAAAGCGTATAAGACAAACTTAAGTAGGATAATGATAGTGGAAACAGATTTTATCTTAGCTAGAGAGTCCAAATTAAAGTCAAGATTTTATCCTCAGAGAGTCACCACTATAAGCTCTTGTCCAAGATTGTTTCTCCACACCTATACATTAGAGAAGCTTAAGAAACCAAATGCTGCATTTAACCTTGGCCTTCTGCATACCATCTTGCATGGCAGGAAGCAAGATAATCTTTTCCTTTTCTGGCTGTAGTGAACATTTTAATAAATAACAGAGAGACAGAGAAAGAGATCAGTGGAAATAGCAACTAGGAAACTGTTCATGCTGGTGTGAGAAATGAGCAGCCTGGTCACCTCCTTAGAGGTGAAAGTGCTCAGGAGACAGTATTAAAAGTATTCTCAAGTGTGTGCATTTGCTAATACACCAATCTAGTCACCACTCAGGCTAGCACAACAAAAGTGAATGAGAGTTCCAACTCTGTGGAATTCTTCCATGGACAAGTCCTTCTAATCTTCTCATTGGGGATGGCTTCCCACTGGCAAGCTTAGTACTGAGTTCAAACATAGGTACGGAATAGGGAAAGGTGGTATCATCACTTTTTAAAGTATAAAGTCCAAACATTCTCGGGAGTAGTTACTTTCATTGTTTTCATTTCCTTTAAAGTAAATATTCTCCAGCCTTGAGTTCTTCTCCCAACCACAGAAAGTGTCTAGGGTTGGGGGCCAAACTCCTTTCCCTTCAGTTATTAGTACCAATCAATTTCATGAACAAGTCTCCTGGGTATATGATTTTTCATTCATAAACATAAGAGAATAAAATTAAACCCTTTCTAGAAACTCTTTCAGTTATTTTTGGAGTTTTATGTTGGAAATCCCTAAACCTTTACAATGTTGGTGACCTATGCATGTGCATGCTCGTGCCTTCTTCTATGGTCGTATACATTCTAATAGAAAGGAGGCATCTCTACATTCACCATAGTTTTGAATCACTTGCAGAATTCCAGTTGGAAATGAAGCGAGGGTGAGACAGTGATGTGAGGCCTTAGCTCAGACACAGAATTTATGAGTGGACCCCAAAATTCACCAATCAAAATAGATTATGTTTTAATGCACTATTTTTAAAACTTACGATGAAGGGCAAAAACTCATAATCAACAAAATTTCAGATTTTAAGATACAAGGTCAGAAACAATTTTGAGTTACATACAAGTCTGAAACAAAAGGGCAAAGCATGAGTAAGACCACTGTGCTGCTAATCTTGTATTGGAAGCATTCATTTTTATGGTTAAAATGCTGCAGACAATGGCCACATGAAGTTGCTATCCATCTTGACCCTGGCTGTAGCACCTAAGGTCCAGGCCTCCTCACTCTTCGCCTACAGGTTTTGCTGTCAGCTGAGTTACTGATTTAGTTAACAAACATTCTCCATAGTCAATGGCATTCTGACTACTGTAAATTTCCTTAAGTCTTAGATCCTCCTTTCTAGATGAACTTGAAAATATACCAAATTTTGCACTGTAGGAAAACAAATGCAGGCTGGATAATGGTCTAGGGAAGGAGAGAGGGTTACAGATCCATCTCCCTTATTGCACATGACTAATAAGCCAATCCTTTTTTTATTGAAGTGCTGTGACAATCAAATAAGTCTTTGAGCTGATAGTTTTTACTGAACTAATTTAAAATGTTCTGAAATTGAGTGAATTTGGTAAAAATGATACACTATCACTATGTAGACAACACCCTACTGCAGTCCAAGCTGTGAGGACCTGTGGAAAGTAGGAGTCTATGTAGGCTGGGCAGTATTTC